TTTTTTTTTCTTTATATTTTATACATTTTTATACTTTAAAACTACTGAGATATTTTATCTTAATGTATGTTTATTTTCTTTTTACTATTTTAACGTGTTGTACTGACATGTCCTATACGTTGTTAACGTCTCAAAGGATAAATAAATATTATTATTATTACTATTATCGATGTTTGAAGCCCATTTTGAAACTGACTTCCGATGAAATTTTCAAAATACTGATTAATCGAATTTAGTAATACATAGGCTGTAAACTGTGTAGTTAATTCAAAATAAAACAAGAGTCCCACAGGAATCTATGAGAATAAAGCTGCTTGAAGTTGACATACCCTTTCTTCAGCATGTAGGAAATATGTTACTTGAATTTCAGAGAGGTGTCTCGAATTTTCAGTTGATTATTTTACAGGTATCCCCTCCCAATTTGTTTTGATATAGGATGTTAAATGGAAATATCATCTTCAGCAGCTTGTATTACTTTCGAAATGTTATGCTATTACCCAAATTATATCACACCTACATTGTAATGAATGAAATCCTCGTGTCTCCAAAGCAAACAAAATGCATCTAAAAAATACTGAAATTTATCTTCATCGAGTTCAGGCTGCAAGATATCCCTGATGAACACTGTAATAATATTGATTGCTGCCGATGTATTAGGTATTGATTGTGTCATGTCTCTTCTTAAACATCGAAACAAGCTCTCCAGAATCAAAGTAAGCCTATTGTTATCATCTTCACTCATAATCATCTCCTTGATAGAATTTATGCAGAATAATGAAAGAGGATCAACTGAAAAAAAAATAGGTAATGAAAATTCGCTTTGAGATTTTGAGCGTGGGGTTTCTCAACCCAAAAATGTATATATCAGATCACATTGAAAACAGCATTGGTACTACAAAGAAGTATGTTGGGGTTCACATTATTTTGGTTTTCCTCCAAGAATCATGTTTGGATTCTTCTAAAGAGAAATTGTGATTTTCACAATCATAAGACAAGACGATGTGATTTGTTGAGGGCAAGTTGATTCAGATTGCAAAAGTCGAGCAGAAACTATATCTATGTTAAATTCTACAATAGTCTACCTCGCCATGTCAAAAAGTTAAATCAATACTAGTTCAAAAGGTATCTGAAAGATCTATTGATTACAAGTCGTGTTTACTCTACTGACGAGTATACAGGGCTTTTCATGATGAAGCGTTAATTAGCCGTTTCTGACAAACTATTTAACGGATCAACCTGAAAATTCCACAGTATGCATAAATCAATATGACCTACACGCCTAAAATATTTCAGACGAAGCGGCGTTGTCGCTTCTACTATAAAGTAGCGGCTTCTTTGATTTTTCAAATGGAACACCCCGTATATAATATCATATTATGATTCATTATCACTTTGTCAACAAATTCATATACTATTTCCCTATACCTATCTATTACCGTTTAGAAGA